CTGACAAATTGAGATCATTGCTAATCATGAATGTTCTGCCGTTGCGTCTTCCATTTGCAGCAATGAATGTTTAGTGAGAGTTGAGAATAATCACGTCCCAAATACCAAAATGGATAGCAAAGGATAGTAGGGTCATTTTCACTTATAATTAATGCTAAAAAATGATTTTTTTAGTCTGTGTGAAAATATCCAGAAAATTACTTATTTGGACCGGAGAGTACAATCATTATTCATAGAATCCAGGCTTGTTATATTTTTGATAGAAAGTAAATATTGAAAGTAACTACTCAAGCTAGAAATTGTCCAAAAGCAGTTCATGGACCATAAGATCCTAATTGAATTAAATAAAATTACAATATGTTACAAAACTGAGTAAGACAATTTCTCTGATTTTCTTGCCACCCCCACTTGACCTGCATTCAGAATTCAAAATTTTAATATTTGGATAATGACACCCTAAGCGCTTGTGTGTAAGTTCTATCCTATAGGTTCTATCCTTAATTTAAATTGTTTAATTTGTTATTTGCACATCCAAATTACTTATACATATTATTATTATTATTATTATTATTATTATTATGCAGAATAAATAACACTAGCTAGCTTATCTGGCTCTCTGCATAATTATATGTTACATTACAAGTCTCCCGAGATAGCTTAAATATAATCAAATCTTACTTGATGTGTATCTTTTAGCCCAAAAATTGTTATAAAATATATATATGTATTAAGCGTCAAATACATTTGCTAGAGTAAAATAACTAGCCCGTTTGACCATGAAATATTTTTCACTTTTCTTCGATTTCTTTTTACTTTTTTTCGAAATCAGTGTTTGACCAAAATTTTCAATTTTCACTTGAAAGATGAATTTTGAAATTTTTCAAGAATTTGAAAAACTCCAAGTGGGCGTTTGGACATAAGAATTGTAAAATTTCGAAAAAAGTGAAAAAAATTTCAAGTGAAAATGGTATTTGAAAATTAGAGTTGTGTTCGGACATGAATATAATTTTGGATTGTTTTTGAATTTTTGTGAGTGATCTGAGTGAAATTTTGAAAAACATCAAGTTTTTCAAATTTTCTAAAAACTTCAAAATTCATTTTCAAGTGAAAATTAAAAATTTTATGGCCAAATACTGATTTCGAAAAAAAGTAAAAAAAATTCCAAAAAAAGTGACAAAATTTTCATGGCCAAACGGGCTCCAAAAGGCTATTTTTCAAAAATTTTACTCAGATTACTCAAAATTCAATAACCCAAAATTATATTCATGTCCAAACACAACTCTAATTTTCAAATACCATTTTCACTTTTTTTTTTTTTGGGAATTTTACCATTCTTATGTCCAAAAGCCCACTAGATTAGTTGACTGAAAAGAAAGAGTAACTTCTATAAAAAAGTCTCAAATTGTGAATGGACAATCTGGTGAAGAAAAAGTGAGAGCCAATTATTTCTTCCTTTTTCAATACTTGAGTCCGGATAGCAATTGTGGATATATGGTACATTTAAGCAGACAAATTCAGAATTTAAGTTATTGTATCAAGTATGTTTCAGAATATCACAATACCCCAACTCTTTTATTTTTATAATTGTAGCATCCTGGCCAGTTTACGCATAACTCTACTAATTTCACGGAATACCTGCTATCTTTCACCAGCATAGATACCGAGTTCAAACTTATGTGGTTGAAGGGGAGCTTTAGAGCAACGATAAAGTTGTCTCCGTGTGACCTATAAGCCAGGGGTTCGAGCTGTGGAAGCAGCCACTAATGCTTATATTATGGTAGACTGTCTAGATCAATACCTTGAAGTATAGCTCTTTTCCGAACCCTGCGTGAACGCGGGATACCTTATGAATCGAGCTGATCTTTTAAATAACTTTATGTGGTTCTTCGCTACCTAACAAATGGAGTATCTGAGAAGCTAATCTACCTATAAATATATAGACATTTCTTACACCAATAAAAATTCATGAAAAAATAAAATAAAATATTAAAAATTTAAAAAAGAAGGAGGGATGGGTAAGAGGAAATATGGGTTGGCACTTGGCAGAGGAAAGCATGTGCAAAGGTAGAGGAGACAATAAGGGCAACAAGCATGCCCCGTAAGACATGCTTATATGTATGTGCAGTCATATATTGACCTATTGCCCCTACTTAAACCATGTGCTCGCACTCAAATCCATTCAAGATATTTCTTTACTTACACATGAATATAATTTTATTATTTCTACTTTTTTTAAAAAAATATATGTCTTATATACAAATATTTATCCTCAAGTTCAGTCATATTTGTTAGTGGTTTTGGTTTAATCATGTGATACACAGTGGCGGAGACACAAATTTTAATAAGGGGAGACAAAAAATAAAAATGTATGCGATGAAATCAAGGGAAGTCAACATATAATATATATACATAAAAATAAAAAATATAACCTATATACCCAGTGTAATTTTTTTACGAAGGGGGTGTCAATTGACTCCTCTTGTCAATGAGTGACTATGCCACTGTTGATATTCGATATTCATTAATTCAACTAATTCAAATTCGTGCCGCATATGGTTCATAAATGGAGAAACGCTACTTATTAGAAAACTTTTTCATTTCTCCTAACTCATATCCGCAACCTCTGATTAAGATTCGAGGGATTTCATACATACCGCCACGTTTCTTGATGGTCAAACACTATTTTATATAGGTGATTAACTAATTTAGCGAGTGGAGTAAGGCGACTTTTAGCGGGATTAAGGGACAAAGACGCAAATTAAACGATGTCTGGGATTTTGTTTAGTTTCATAATAATTTAAAGTTATGCTATTTTAATTTTACAATCACTGCTATTTCTACAAGTAATAGAATTAAAAAATAGTAATTCCCATATGAACTAGCTAACTGGGATATCTCCCATGCAATGCGCGTGTTCTATGTTAGTTAGCTCAGATACCTATATTAAACCTAATGGATCTAATAAGGGAAAGAATAGGGTAAACTGCAAAATTGACCGACTGGCTGAAATTAATTGTATTTTCTAGCGCAAAAGTGTACAAAATATGTAATATATATATATATATATATATATATATATATAGCTATTATTTTTCGGAGCGGCTAAAATATACATTTATCAAAAAAGATGCTCTTGTATATACGAGTACATTGTTCTGTTATTTTTTTTTAATGTTAAAATCTACACGTGGAGAATAAATATTCTTCTTACGTCCATCTGCCGGATTTATATCAAATTAATTAATATAAGATATGTGCTATTAATTGTATTAGTTTTTAACACTTAACCAGGAAAAAAATAATACGTATTCCTTGATAATTTCTATAGTTAAATACTTAAATAGTTAAATTGATGGATTTGGTACAAACATCAGACAATATCGACCAAGTATATCCGACTTGTACATGGTGTATACATACTATTGAGAGTTGACATTATTATATTGTTCACAATTAACAAGTTACTGTATTATAGCAATCCAAAATTTCTGTTATTTCTTTGTTTAGGATCCAACAAAATTAACCATATCTTATACACGAGTATTATTTTCACTAGTCATCATTATTATGTCAAAGAGTCACGTGTAATTTAAGAAAAAATGATGGACTAAAAATTAAAGGTCATGTGACCCCATTAGACATTATATAAGAATTAATCACTTTCCTTTAATCAGTTTTTCTTCTAAATTAAGATTGAGCTTATAACCAATTAAGTGGGAAAGAAAATAGAAATTTAATGTGACAGCCGTTATAAGAGATAGGAGTTGGAAGTTAAATGTCATTTTTCTAATAAGAAACCACATTCATCTTTAGACCAATTTAAGTAGAGGACGAATAATTATATAAATTGAAGTTGATAAAAAGTATTGAAGTCGAAATTGAAAAGTTAATAAAAATTTAGTACTCTTAACTTTAAGATTCACAGATTACAGCTCAAGTGCATATTAACTAATTATGATTAAATAATTAAATTTTATATATTAATCATATGTCATATATTTATTGATTTGACTTGATATAAATATCCAACCTAATATTCTTTTTTTCTATTATTTCATTGATACTATAAATTTCCACAAACCTTGGAGGCATCTTTTTGACTTTATGAAAATTGACCCTAGAATGTAGTACTATAAATTAGTGCATTTTACTGCCAGCGCATTTTAGCTCTACCCTGCCCCCCTCACTCACCTAACTTCACTGACCAAACGTTAAAGTACGCCGGGTCACCTCCTACCCCCTGCCACCCACCCCCCACCCCACCCATTTTGGTTCTCCTCATTTAGGGAACTTTCTTTTTAAGTACTGAAACCTGAATTTTGAAGAGAAACTGAAACTAGAAAGCCAGAAAGTGAGAGTTTCTTAAATACACACACAAATTGTAAAAGAAAAAAAAGAAAAAACTTTTTCTTATGCATATGAAGGATAGGGGAAAAAGAAAGCAAAGTATTTTATATAAAATGTTCATATGTGTATGGTCAGAGACGGAATTAGAATTTAAAGTTTATTGGGTTTCCGAAATTCTAGACCTTTCAAGTTATTTCGTTCGGAATTAATAATTTATGCATATTAAATAAATTTATTAAGATAAATACAAAATTTGGACCAAAGTTGATGAATTTGACCGAACCTCCATCTGTAATGCTAGCTCCACCCTGTGTTTGGTATTTTAGAATTTTTTCTTTTAGTTTTTCACCCAATGTCCTATACCAATATTAGAATTCTGACTAATTCGAATTTACCGCGCGTAAAATCTTTAAAAGAAAACGCTTCCTACTCGATTTTTTTTTTAGAAACTCGAACTTAATATCTCTGATTAAAAGTATAAAAATCTTACATATCCCAACGCAATAGTGACCTTATTTATTTTGGTGCATATTACATATAAGGAAAAAATACACACAATTATAGTATATGTATGTATTTAGATACAATATTAAAATCAAATTTTATTTTTGATTCTACTAGTACTAGAGTATTATATAATAGAGGGGCTGGTCAAGATTCACTTTCCATATCGTTGGTCGGAGAGAGGTCTTCTGATAAGTCACAAGTCATAAGCCCCTCTTGTGTGTGTTTTGAGAAAATCAAGAAAATCTCGCTGACCCAATTCACCAGCAATCCTCAAGATTTGTAAAAATGGGTACGTGCCATTTCTCCTCTTTTCTCCCTTTTCTCTTTTTCTGTTCCTTTCTATGTTCTTTGGTTCTTCCCAAACCTTATGATTTCATATGGGGGTCCAAAAAATATGGTTTTTTTAATTTGAAAAACATAAGTGTCTTTGTGTTTTTTGTGGGTCATCTTGTTCTTTTGTTCTAACTCATGTTTTCAGCTGTTTTTTTTTCTGGGATTTGGTGGATTTTGATACTTGTGTATGTTTTATGTTTCTTTGTATGTGTTTTGAAATGTTTTACTATTTTTGAAGTGTTTGTTGCTATGTCTTTTTTTGGGGCTAGTCTAAATTCTTAATTACTTAGCTTTATATTTAATTTTGTTAATTACTTGCTTCACTCTTAGGTTCTAGTATCTTCTTTGTGATTGGTAATACTGATTCTCTTTATTTATCTGAGATTTCTTGTATTTTTTTCCTATTACTCAGAAGCTACTGTGAGCTATTCTCAGAATATAATGGATGATGAATATGAAAAATTTATTAGAAGAATGAATCCACCAAGGTACTGGTTATTATTATTATTATTAATTTTTTTTAATTTCTTTTACTGTCCTTGGCATAACTCGTAAAGTTGGTGCCATGTGACCAGTTTACGGGTTTGAGCCGTGGAAACAAGCTCTTGAAAAAATGTAGGGGAAGGGGAAGACTGCATACTTGCGGTCTGTCCTTTCCTCGGATCCCGCGCATAGCGGAGCTTAGTGCACCGGGCTATTTTTTTTTTTAATCTTTAACTGTCACTTCAATCTTAATATTTATGGCATTTACTCCAACTTCATTGGTTATTTCTGTCAGAGTGGTAATTGACAATGAATCTTGCAAAAATGCTACTGTTATTCAGGTAATGTTTTTGTTTTTGTATTGTATTGATTTACTCTGAAATTTAATTTGATGGGATTTTTTCTAATTTTGTGTATCTTTGGTTTCTTGATTCAGGTGGATAGTGCTAACAAACATGGTATACTTCTTGAGGTGGTACAAATTCTTACTGATCTTAACCTTATTATTACCAAGGCTTATATTTGCTCTGATGGTGGTTGGTTCATGGATGGTAAGAATTTTTTACCTTTTTTACCTCATTTAATATAGCATTTTTACTTTCAATTTGGAAAAAGGAATTTACATGAGTTGTCTTCTGTTGGCAGTATTCAATGTCACTAATCAAGAAGGGAACAAAATTACAGAAGAACCAATCTTGGACTATATAATGAAGGTGAGTTGTAGTCTGTGTGCAATTTGGGATTTTTTGTTTATATCTATTAATACTGATGAAAGGGGAGCCTTGGCGTAACTGGTAAAGTTGTTGCCATGTGACCAGGAGGTCACGAGTTCAAGCCGTGGAAACAGCCTCTTGGTTGCGTACAGTAGACCCTTGTGCTCCGGCCTTTCCCTGGATCCCGTGCATAGCGGGAGCTTAATGTACCGGGCTGCCCTTTATATCTATTAATACTGAGGCTGACTGCTTTTTTTGGGGCTGTTTTAAATTTTCAGTCACTTGGTCCAGATTCTTGTTTTGCCTCTTCTATGAGAAGATCAGTTGGGGTTACTACAGGAATGGACCACACATCAATTGAGTTAATTGGAAGTGATAGACCAGGTTTACTATCTGAAGTAAGTGCTGTTCTTACCAACCTTAGATGCAATGTGGTGAATGCTGAAGTGTGGACCCATAACACCCGAGCAGCAGCTATAATGCAAGTTACTGATGAAGAAAACGGGGGTGCAGTTTCTGACCCCGAGAGGTTGACTATGGTCAAGAAACTGTTATGCAATGTACTTAGAGGTAGCAATAAATCGAGAGATGCTAAGACGTTGGTATCTCCTGGGGTCACTCATACCGAGCGAAGGCTTCACCAGTTGATGTTTGCTGACCGGGACTATGAACGTGCAATGGGTGACGGATCAGATGATAAAGAAAGGCCGAACGTGAATGTTGTTAATTGGCAAGATAAGGACTATTCTGTAGTGACAATTCGGTGCAAGGATAGACCGAAACTGCTGTTTGATACGATTTGCACTTTGACGGATATGCAGTACGTGGTTTTCCATGGCAATGTCGATACTGAAGGACCAGAAGCTTACCAGGTACTACACTTTCTTATGTATTTTAGAAATTTCTTATTGTATTATCGCTTTACCCCTACCTAAATTTTACTATCTCTGTGTTTGTGGACTTAATGATAAACTCTTGTTGCATTTCAAGGAATATTGCATAAGGCATATCGATGGATCCCCTGTGAAATCAGATGCAGAAAGACAAAGAGTGATTCAATGTCTTGAAGCAGCAATAGAAAGAAGAGTATCCGAGGTAGTACTGTGATTTACTTATTTTAGACATCTTTTTAGGTTCAGTTATTCAGTTCTAGCTTAGCTCCTTCATGTAATCTTGGCCTTTGGAGAGGAGAGGGCAGAGAAGAAAACTTCCTTCGTGCAAGTTTTTTTGCTTCCTGCGTCCTTTTACTAGTAGCTTGCACCCTTACAAAAAAGGTGAGCGCCTAGCGCGAAAGGTTGCTTTACTAAGTAAGATAAGGCAATAAGCAAAGGCGTAGCAGCTGCACGATAACTAATAAGTCTCTTAGGCCAAAGGGAAAAAAGAGGAGGAAATCCTACCGTGTTTAATTGTTTTATTGAGTTTAAGTATGCTAATTAACTTTGTATCTGTCTATTAGTTGTCTGATAATGTCTCTCCCGTTGTCTTATCTTACAATTTAATTAAGTGCCCTGAGTCATATTAGTTTAAGTTTTCGACCTATTCTCGTTGGACATAGTATTTGACAATTTTATACTGCATTTTTCTTGTCTTATAGTTTTTGGATTTCTAATAGGATCATTTTCCCTTGTATTTGTTCAGGGATTGAAGCTAGAATTATGTACCACAGACAGAGTAGGGCTGCTATCTGATGTTACTAGAATATTCCGCGAGAATAGCCTCACTGTCACCCGAGCTGAAGTAACAACTAGAGCAGGCAAAGCTCTAAATACATTCTATGTTAGCGACTCATCAGGCTATCCTGTCGATGCTAAGATCATTGAATCTGTTCGACAAACTATTGGACAAACGATACTTCGAGTGAAAGGCAATCCTGAAGAGTTAAATCCAGTACAACAAGAATCTCCAACTAGGTTTCTTTTTGGTGGTTTGTTTAAGTCCAGATCCTTTTGTAACTTTGGTTTGGTTAGATCTTACTCTTGAAATCACTAGTTATAGTTCTGTCATCCATTGTATATTCCTATTTACTCTTCTAGGTTTTAGGTATATTAATTAGCAAAAGTTGATTACTACCAATGTCTGTAAATATACATTCTTGATCATATTATGCTTTGTTCTTTTGGTAATGGATTCAACACCTCGTTGACCAATCATGTATCAATTTGCTGCAGAAAATCCGTGTGAAAATTGATACTTTTATGCACAGATTTTTACTTTCTTGATTACTGTACAGTCAAATCTGGCCTTCCATTTGTGTTGATAGCAACTAGCAATAAGCTGTTGTTGTCCTATGTTTGGTTCTTGTAACAACTGTCTTGACCTACGTTTGACTTAATTCGTGATGTTTTCTATATTTTTGAAGAATAATAATGAACCTTAGCATAGTCAAATATTCAAGTAGTTTCTTGTTAGAAACATTTCTTTGTCATAAGAAAAGGCCATTAGATATAGTAGTATTTTTCTTAATTCCTAGAGCCATCCAACTTTGACTAGCTTAATTTCTTGGTTTAGTCAGCCAATTAATCGCGGCGGCTTGTGAGATAATAGGTCTTAATTATTAATTTAGTATTAAGATGCTTCCTCAAGATTCCCATGTCCAAGTATTTTAATAATGATTAGAAGTAGACAGTAGAAAGTATTTTTATGTTATTAGTGTATTTAACATGTTGTAATTCATAACAAGTAAATGTTTAATATTTTAAGTTACCAATCTCACCTAATTATGGACGGTACTAGTAATTATTTTATAGGTGATCTTACAGTGTAAAAACTTACTGATTAAACAACAACAACAACAACAAACCCAGTATATTCCCATCAGGTGGGATCTGGGGAGGGTAGTCTGTACGGTTTGACTTGTGAAGAGTTGTGATTTGTTATATTAATGTTGTGTGTGAATGGTCTTACTTCTAATATAATCTTATTGGTGCATTTCTTGGTTAGTGGTTATTTCTTGAAATTGGTGTTCCTCTACTTTGGCATTTTGACATATTTTTGTAACCAATCCCCAATTCTGGGAGATTGATAAGGATTTCAAACCTAAGGGCTTGTCATGTTGTCTATTAGGTCAATTGTTCACATTGAGCCTTTGATATTGTTGGAGGTTACAAGTTAGTGAATAATAGATGTGTTTCTCAGCTGTCATTATGCTGATCCAGAATTGGCTAAATTGCATTTATGGATTTTGTCATACAAGAAATTTCAGTTTAAGGATGCAGTCAAAAGAAAGATTGCTTGATGTAGTCTGGACTAATGGTTAATGAAGTAAGTGAAAATCGCAGGAGATTAAGATTAAGATTTAAACTTAGTAGAGACAACAAATGCAACGTGATTCTTTTTGTTTTTCTAATACTTGATGGATAGAGTCACCCGTAAATATATGTTAGTAAATGATAATAGGTACTACGTCATATAGTTAAGGTACGAGAAATTCGCAGTACTCAAAACAAAAAGATTGTGTAAATCCTCAACCAGAAAAACAAAACACTCAAATGGACAAAATTGGTCTGTCCTAAAAAAGAAATGAAAATGGTTATCCGATTTTAAAAAAGTAATATGTCAAAGAAAATAGTATAGTACTTACCTTTTGATGGTTGCCCAAATGAAATGAAAACAAAAGTAGGGGGGGAAAAGGAAATACATGAAACATACATGGCACATTTGCCAATATGAAAGGTCCGATCCTTAAATAGAGTGAAAAGATGGACAGCTCAAATTGGAAAGTGATCTCATCGAATTTCCTTTTTGACGAAATAATGCATATGGAATGGTGCCATTTGAATTTCCAATGTACACCATTAAACAAGACTTGTAAAATTGGAGAAAAAAAAAATTAAAAGTGATAGAGCAGTCCCCTTTTTAGAATGGTCTTCCAATCCAATCAGGAAAATGAAATTCAATATCCTTTTGGAAAATTTGGAGGAAATTCAATTCCCTTTCCTTTAACGGTTTAACCTTTTGCATAATGAGTCTAAGCGCCCGTTTGGCCATAAAAAAATTACTTTTTTCAAAACAAAAAAAAAAATCTTTTTTTGAAATTATTGTTTAACTATGAAATTTTTAATTTTTGCTTGAAAGTGAATTTCGAATTTCTTTAAGAATTTGAAAAACTCCAAAAAGTTATTTTTCAAAATTTTCATATCAAATCATTCACAAAAATACAAAAACAACCAAAAATTATATTCATGAACAAACACTACTCTAATTTTCAAATAATATACTTTCACTTGAATTTTTTTTCAATTTTTCCGAAATTTTACAATTGTTATGTCCAAACGCCCACTAAGTTTCTTTGCACCGACAGTATAAAAATATTTACACAATCAGGTCACTTATAAAGTAAATATAGGTAAATCTATGATTACAATAATTAATAATCTAATAAAAAATAACTAACCGCTATAATAGATTAAATTACACAAAAAGCGCAGCCTGATGAATAAAGCATCTCATATTCACGCAGGGTTCGAGGAATGGCCGAACCCAAAAGATAAGACGTAGACATCCTACTCTAATGCAAGTATTAGTGACTGCTTTCATGGTTCGATTACATTGGTGTCTGCTTTCATTGCTCAATTATATTAATAACTACTTTCACGACTTGATTAAATTACATTAATCCTATAAAATAATTTTATGTTGTCAATGTATATAACCCAGATCCATCGGATCATCATTGTTGATTTGGTGCTCAAATTAAGGATATATAGTGACGTAGGGTGTAGCCACTTGGATTCTCGGCTATGGTGCCACTTCAGATAATGCCAGATGGGATTAACTGCCTTTGTGTATATCTTATATTCTTAGCTTATGTGGTGATTGTATAAGCCAAGTTCTTTCTTATTTGGATAGAATTTGGGACCACTCTTGTGATGTATTAGGATATTAGGTCATCAAACACTACCATTAACTTTATATGAGTTGGAATATTTGTAGCAAAGCAGATTAATTAGGGAATCGTCGTAGGTTAAGATTAATAAAATTCATTTGTTCTATAGGTTAAGATATGGGCTAAACTAGCCCAAGTACACTCTTAATATGGTGTGATATTGTTTGCTTTGGGCCAAACCCGCACGGTTTTCCCAAAAGGCCTCACACCAAGTGACCAATCTTTCTGTGGAGGCGGCGAAGGGATGGTAAGGCTTTGAAGCCAAGCAAGCAGCAGAGATCTCTACACCTTATATGTAGACTCCCAATCTTTTCAGCTACCAATGTGGGACTTTGTTCGCACACCCAACAATCTCCCCCTCGAACTAAGTTCCACGTGGTCCACTACCACGATCCACGGGTCAATTTTCGAGATTCACTGTGTGCCACCCACATTGTTAGAGTATTATGGCAACTGAAGCCCGCAACTAGCTTCTTCTTGTGTGTGCACCGCCCTGCACCATCACTCCGCCATCTCCATACTTGTTCCGCTGAACCTGGGCTCTGATACCAGTTGTTGGGCTAAACTAGCCCAAGTACACTCTTAATATGGTGTGATATTGTCCGCTTTGGGCCAAGCCCGCACGGTTTTCCCAAAAGGCCTGACACCATTAAGAGATCTCTACACCTTATATGTAGACTCCCAATCTTTTCAGCTACCAATGTGGGACTTTGTTCGCACACCCAACAACATGTATAATAGAGTATTATAACAGGTATTATCAAGATAGCGGTAGGATGACTATGATCCCTCCATCCTTCGAGCCATTAAGTTGGAAAAAATCTTAGTAGGAAACGCTTCCCTCTTTAATCAACCTTATGCAGTACAAATCCAAATTAGTCGAGAGTGCAAATCCAAATTAGTCGAGCCCTAATGCTGATACCAAACATCGAGTAAAAAATAACACAAAAGAAGAATTTTATTATAGGTCGCTTTGGATAAGTCGTTGGACTTAGACATTATGAAAACGTAATGTATAAAGCCAATGCATACTACCAACTCGATGACATCTTTGATTGCATGGATAGATTTACGTCTTGGCCTAACTATTTGATGCACCAAGTTGTAGCAATGCAATTAAAAGAAGAATAAAGAAAATTCCACAAAACAAAGGTTCAAGTAGTTTTGTGGCTCTGTACAAACTTATTTTTAGTTTTATTACCCTACTTTTATTTTACATATGGAAGATTTACTTTTACACGTAAGAGATCTGTCTTTTACACATAAGAGATCTAAAAAGGTCATTTTCTTAAATTGTAAATTGTAAAGGGGCATGATGTACAAATAACACCAAAAAAAATTAAGGGAAGAGGGAGAAGAAAATGAAAATTTTCTGCTTATGTGTCTAAGTTTTATGGAAAGAGTTATTTGATATCTATATTAGCGACAGGTAATAGCAACTCAGTAGTTAATGGGAGAGTCGAGGTACGCCGCAAATTGGTCCGAACAATACAACCTGACTTAATTGGTTTTTGAAAGGCTAAGCTAAGTCTAAACATTAATATTAGAGATTTTTACATACCTATACACTATTGGAAACTTTATTACACTCCCTACTCAAGTTTCACTTTAATTACCTCCTACATACAAAATTACTAATTATGTATATTTTTAGGATTTAACGATAATTAATCAATTCCTACAATCACTGTAGCCATTCCCTCATGGCTAAAGAAACAAATTAACTCCAAAGGCATGTTTAATGATCTCATTAGCTGGAGGGAGGCCTTTCCTTTCATTCTCTGGCACTTATGGTTAGCTAGGAACAAAATTCTATTCAATAAGAATAAAAACCCCACGTTAGCGAACCACATCATCAGTAAAGCAATAGAGTTCAAATACGTGACAGAAACCATCCACACTAAACCAGACAAACGCATTTCCTTCATCAAATGGGAGCCGCCCGAACCAAATTTTATCAAACTCATCATAGACAGTTCCTGCATGGGAAGCCCAGGTAAGGGGGGGGGGGATTGGGGGAGTCTTCAGAGACAACGACGCCAACTGGATCCTTGGGTTCAGCATGGCCATACCACATGCCACAAATATCTAGATGGAAGCTCTAGCCTTACTTCATGGATTAAAATTGCCAAAGAGAAAGGAATGCAACACTTAATCATCGAATCTGACTGTAAAGAATTAATTAAATTGATGAATAGCAATGACGGATATTATCAAAATTTGGTTGATGATTGCAGAAATCTATTACAGGAGATGGAGAATCCACCGCTGAA